CACACACACACCACACACACACATGATTTAACCAGGTAGATCTCCCTTAAATTTAGATTTTTATGGGAGACTTTAAAGTGTCCCTTAAAAAAGGAGATTTTAAGGTCTAATTTTTTTTACCTATACATATTTATTCCACTCAATTAATGTGTGATTTATTTATTTTCTATTATAATTTTTATATCGTGATATACAGTATATCGTTAACGTCACTCATCATAATGTATATCGTGATATGAATTTTTTGCCATATTGCACATTCCTAACTGACACTATCCTCAAAGGAAGATTCTATATTTAAGCTAATACATTTGATTTTGTACCTTAAAGATTTCTGTAAATCAAGCAGTTCTCCTTTGGACCAACTTTAACCACTTTCACCGTGTTCTCCAGAACAATGAGAAACAGATGAGACAGCTGTCCGTCATCCCTCCCATGATGTACGACTCGGAGCAGAGGCGAGTGAAGTTCATCAACATGAACGGCCTGATGGACGACCCCATGAAGGTCTACAAAGCACGGCAGTTTATGAACGTTTGGACCGAGCATGAGAAGGAGATCTTTAAAGAGAAGTGAGTTGTTTTTGTCCTGTGTGTCTGTAGGGCAGAGATGTTTTTTAAAGCTGCCTTGTTCAGAGGAAAATATATTTTATTTCTGCTCTTTTGCTTTTCAGGTTCATACAACACCCCAAAAACTTTGGCTTGATTGCTTCTTATCTTGAAAGAAAGGTAAACTGTGGCTTGTCCTGACATGATGACTATTTTTGTTGTTTCAGTGATGAGTTAATCCAGACTCAAGGCAGGTTATTATATTCAGTAGTGTTTATTTAAGCTTTAATAAAACATTTTAGAGCACCTTATTCTGTTCTGATACGCTAGAGTTGCTTATTAAAGATGAGAAAACTGAGAATCCATAACATCACTTGTGAATTAAATGTCTAAATAAAGCTCTTGATGTATTTACAAATRCTTACATGTTTTAATTTMTTYTTTTCAGTGTGTTTCCGATTGCGTCCTCTTCTACTACTTGACCAAAAAGAACCAGAACTACAAGACGTTGGTCAGGCGAAGAAGAAAAGGAAGGAACCAGGTAAACCTAAGACTTGTGTACATGCAGTGTGTTTGTTCGCAGTGTGTTGCTTGTTTATTTAACAGTATTGGGTGCTCTGGCTGCAATTCTAATTGAAATGATAAGAATGAACCTTCTGTAATGAGTAAAATGTTCAGTGAACAAATGACAAACTCAGTTGGAGTTTGGCTTTAGAAGAACAGTACTCTGATGGTGTTTTCCTTGAAAGCTGAGGTGACCAGACTTCTTAGAAGAACAATAATATGCATGAAGTTTGTAACTCAAACCGTCTGTTCGCTGTGAGTTGATATTGTTGCAAAGGCTGAGTTTGTCAGATGTTTCTTTGTGTCCTGTCTCACATGTACAGTTTTCTAACACAAATGACACGATTGTGCATTGTTGCTGTGGCTTCTGTGCATTTGCTAATTCTCCTAAACTTGCTCTGCGAAGGACAGAGTATGTTTACTCCACCCATCATTTACAAATCCAGCTTGAACCAAATATTTTATATTTGTGTAAATCTGGGCCTAGAAATTTTAACATGCGTATAGAGTACAAATTGTAAACCACTTTCCCACATTATAAACAAATACCCACAATACTTAGGTACTTCTTCCTACTTTGTATTGAAAAAATTCAAGTGTGTAAGGATTTATGGGAAATGACAAGGCCTTCAAGAGACGATCATCAATGTTTGTATTAGATTTCTGAGTAACTGGATTCAAATGAGACTAGATCATCCGGTTTAGTAAATATTATCTGGTTGTATTTTTTTAAATGTACAGTGCTTGGCGTTCAGGGACCGTAATGCTAGTTGTGTGTTTACCCGTTAAAACAACCTCTTTATGTTAACATTTTACAATTGCTTGAGTTGTATAATAAWTACAAACCTGCACGACTGATTTGGTCACTAGATACACAGACTTACAGAGGTAGGGCAGATTGTCAGAAACTTATAATMGCTGTGCAATGTCATGATTAGACTGCAGTAAATCGTAGAGTTTTATATTTTCGGCTACAGTGTGTTCACACTCTGCAGTAAAATATGCRGTTTATCAGATAGATCTGTACTGTCCTGAATGCTGGTCTTGATCTGATAGTGTTTGAGATGCTAAGCACACAGAAAGGCTTGTGTCATGATGACAGAAAGGGAATTTACGAGAATAAAAAATGTGGTTCTCAGAAATGTGATGTGATTCTACAATAATACAGTTAGTCCGTATCTCTTTAGACAATGACAAAAGTTTTTATTTTTTTTACCTGCTTACTGAAATATATTCAAGTTATAGTTATATAATGTACATGGACATAAAGTCCAGACATTCAGCTTTCATTTCAAGGTATCCAAATTAAAATTGGATGAAGGGTTTAGGAGTTCATCTCCTTAACATGTTCCCACCCTGTAATTGGACAGTTGACTCCAAGGCCATTTCATGGACAGGTGTGGGCAGTTCCTTCGTTATGTCATTCTCAATTAAGCAGATAAAAGACCAGGAGTTAATTTGAGGTGTTCTTGTTGCATTTGGAAGATTTTGCTGTGAAGTAAACATGCGGTCAAAGGAGCTCTCCATGCAGGTGAAACAAGCCATCCTTAAGCTGCCAAAACAGAAAAAAACCCATCTGAGAAAATGCTACAATATTAGGAGTGGCAGTTTGGTACATCCTGAGAAAGAAAGAAAGCACTGGTGAACTCAGCAATGCAAAAAGACCTGGGTGCCCACGGAAGATAGTGGTGGATAATCACAGAATAATCTCCATGGTGAAGAGAAACCCCTTCAGAACAGCCAACCAAGAGAACAACACTCTCCAGGAGGTAGAAGTATCAATATCCAAATCTACCATAAAGAGAAGACTGCATGGAGGTAAATACAGAGGGTTCACTGCACTCTGCAAGCCACTCATAAGCATCAAGAATATAAAGGYTAGACTGGACTTGGCTAAAAAACATCTAAAAAGCCAGCAGAGTTCTGGAAGAACATTCTTTGGACAGATGAAACCAAGATCAACTTCTACCAGAATGATGGAAAGAGAAAAGTCTGGTGAAGGTGTGGTACAGCTCATGATCCAAAGCACCACATCATCTGTAAAACACAGCAGACAGTGTGATGGCTTGGGCATGGCTGCCTGTGGCACTGGGTCACTCATCTCTCAAGTTTTGCAACTTGGCGTGCACTCTGTGCCATTCAGATAGTTTGTTTGTCTGTCAAGCATTTGTTCTCTGTTTTACAAAATTGCCAAGAGTTAYGACATGTACTGCCACATGTCCTTTCAGAGAAWACTGCACCAACGTAGGCGTCACKTRTAAACGCCTACGACTCTTGCTCAGGTTGTCCCGCCGTCAGCAGAAACCTGCACGGCACTCTGAAGTTTGACTATAACTGGGCCTTAAAAGCAGGCATAAAAACAATAACATTGATTAAAAATTAAACATTAGATTGTACACACATTTGATTTTGAGATTTAACCAAAACAGCTTTAGCTCAATCATTTGTCAACCATGATGATGTCCGTTTAAACCTTCTGATAATTTGCATTCCTTCAAGTTGAAGCAGTGTCGAGTGGATTTCTTTCCTCTTAAAATAACCCTAATCTCTAAAATTTCATATTGGCCCATGTGAACATTATTTCATGAACCATTACACTGCCCTTAGTTAGGGGTGTCTTGATCCGATATTGATATCGGATATCTGTCCGATATCGGCCAAAAAATGAGTATCGGATTTTATCGGCCTGCATAAAAAATGTCCGATATAAGCAGTTCAATCCAGCAGTTCACTGACTCCGCTCCAGTGTTTCTATCCAGCAGTGCTTGGATCCAGCATGTAGCGCTCACATGATCACAACAGCATGCTGCGCTAACAAGTTAGCAAGAATGTCGGCAGAACTTTCTGTTTTCATCAGAAACAGAGTTTCTAAGCTAAGTGCAAAGTTGTCACGCACAAGTTTTCCGAGGGGGAACAGAACCGTGAACGTTTTAAACCGGAGCGACAACTACTCTCCACCCTGGCAGCAGCTTTGCGGTTCGGCTCGGTTCGTTCAGCCTCGGTCCAGTGACCGCACACAGCCGCGCTGTTTTGGAACCTCCTCTCTCAGTCGGTGGTTCTAAGCTGGCAGAAGCGAGGACAGCACGCTTAGTTTTGACATCCCGTGGATTAGCTTTTGATGGACAGAAGAAAGGAGAGCGCAGCTTTTGTTTTAAAGTATGAGCGCGACATGACGAGAGCAGTGATAAAAACTGCTCCCTGCAGGAGCGAGAGGCTGATCTCCACATGATGCTCAGAAAATGCAGCAGTAAGAAAGGTAGCTATCAATTTAAATAACTGACTAATTCTTACTATTTATTTTTTGCTCTTGTTATTAGAGTGATGTTTAATCTGTTTACACACTTGTTTGAGTGAAGATTAAGTGCAATGATCACGTTGTTTTGGTTACAGTCAGTAAAACTGGAGCTGTGGACTCTTAACTTTGAACAGACAATAATGTGGGCTTTTGTTTTGTCCCCACCTTCAGTTTTTTCCACCATAAAGCAGCACCAGGCTGACAGGTAGTAAAACAATAACCGAAGTGATTTTGAATTGTTATTTTATACTTTAAAAGAACATTTTGTTTTTATTATGTTTTCTTTTTCAGGGTCTTCTAATTAATTTTATTAATTTTATTAAATTGTAGAATGTTCTTCAGTTTAAAATGTATGTGATCCATTGGTTAAAAATAAATGGGTCAGTTTTTCTCATACCTACTCTTTTTCACTGTTTGACCTGATCAAGACTTTTCTAAGATTTTACATTACAAAATAGGTAAAAGCGTGTGACTTGTACTTTATGGTAACGGGTCAATATCGGTATCGGACAATTCTCAAAGTTGTAATATCGGTATCGTATCTTAAGTGAAAAAGTGTATCGGGACATCCCTACCCTTAGTTTTGCATTACACATAATCGTACATTGAATTTTTGTTGTTTTGTTTTGAACAAAATAKAGTATTTTTGTATTCTCAAAGTTTTAGTCATGACACACTAGAGTACGATGGTTTTTAATTGATGTTTAAAGAAATGCGCATCAGTGTTTAGTGGATTTCCCAGTGTTTGGTGTTCCTTAACCACTGATGTTTGAGTGAGCAGAGTGAGTCATTGGAGTGGGAAGGAAAAAGACTGAGTGAGCAACAGTGAGAGAGCTGGAATGTAGGGCAAGTGAGTGAAACTGAGTGGAAAAAAAAAACCCTGAGTGAGACAGAGTCAGCGCTGGCAGCCTCTCTGCTGATTGTGTGCTCATTTTTATATTTATTTATTTCTTCAAACAGAAAGAGGGAGAGAGAGAAAAATCCACCCGCTTAAAAATCTGCGTTGGTACAGCCCGGCCATCTGACAGGCCCAAAAACTCACTGTGCTGTTGTGAGTGCCAATCAAAGAGGAGTGCTCAGCGGGGATTACCTTGAGTGACCCTGCATAGATTAGTGCGTGCATGTGAGACGGACAATTCTTTGGGCTTAAGCGGCCCGATGACACGCTTTCCTGGAATATGTGCGGCGACCGTGCTGCGGCCCGGCAGCCCTTCTAAGGAGCTCTGCTGTGGCGCTGTCCTGCCCCCCTACCGCTACCGTTACCAGCACTATGGAGGCACTGGAGGCTAAACTCACATTTGCAGCACAAGTTAGCTTTGACTCGCAGCAAAGGAAAGGGGGTTTTATGACCAGCAAATGAGTGTGCAGGTATGTCACTAACTTTGAGAGCAGAGTTTTTTACTTTTTATTTAAAAACCACACTCTTCTGGGTTTAGTTTGCGACTTTGCCCTCTGTTGCTCAGCGACTTGGCTTCTTTGCCTGCATGTTCATTTGAGCTTGTAGGCAGTCAAATGAAGCTATTTTAAGGTTTGTTTTCTAGGACATGTGCAGGCAGAGTTTTTTTTAAACACTGAAGTCAAGCCTTTGCAGTCTTAAGCTTGTGTTTATGTTGTTGGCTGGGTGTTACTCACAAGTGTGAAATAAGAAAACACGGAAATTWCCCTTTATGTTACACTTTTAA